ACTTACTTCCAAGAGCCAATTGAATTCGGCTGTTCATTTATTTTAGCTGAGTCTCATGCGTAAGTGAATAAATAAACGGGGTTAATGACGAAATTAACAATGAAGATGATGTTATTATGATTGTTGTTAACTAGATGGCTGCTTTTGTTATAGCTGACGGTGTTGACGACAATAATAATGAAGGCGTTTCTATAGTTGTTGTTACTATTATTGTTCTCAGTGTAGTTGTTACAGATGTTCCTCTTCTTCTGGCTGGTGCTGTTATTGTTTTTGTTGTCTTTGTTACTGATGTTGAAGAAAAATACCTTATTGATTTAAGTGATAATAAATTATCATCACACAACTGGACGGCATTACAAGTTTCTTACTAGGATTACCAAAAATATTCTTTTTTTCAAGATGCAGGATTCGCAATAGTCATAACGATCGGGTAGTTCGGTGTAAATATCGCTGAACGAAAAGAAAAAAGTAACCTATTGAATTTATTTTACTTCTCTAATTATTTGTCTATATAATAGCGATTTGATGATTTTTATCTTGTATTTAACGCTTGTTGACTTGGGTTTTTATTGCTTTGGAAATTAAATTAAATAAACCTTTTCTTTGGTTGTTTTTTTTTTTGTAATTTTAGTGTACACAGACTTATTATACATGATTAAATCGATATAAAATATATTTACGTTGAATACTTTAATACCGATATATTTTTACAATTCCATTCGCATAGTCGAGTAGGCAAAAGATCGCGACTAAAAAGTCAATCGTTGCGGGTTTAAATCTCAAGCGTGGTGCCATTTTCAACACAGGCGAGCATATAATTTAAGTTATCCGGCAGCACTTAAATCATCCAAACTTTGTAAATTTATAAACACTTTAAGACTCCTAAGGGTCTAATTATAAGTACAAAAATACAGAATACTACGTAATGATTAATATTAAGTATCGCATGTGTATACAAGAAAATGCACAACCAATACCATTTGCAGCCGATTTCTCGTTGACAATTGTTTTTTTAAATCTCTGAGTTTTTTACTATATTATTTATTTAAAGCGCCATGCATTTTTCTTTTCCGTTCTACTGGCCTTTCAATATGCTTACAATACGGTATTATATTAAATTAAATTTGTTTCGCCTTTGCAGCAAACGCTAGCATGTTCATTTATAGTTTATAACTGAATTCTCCTTCTTTTGTATCATCTTTCCATTGTATTGGATTAATTTTTCACATATTAATTAGGTGCATACATATTACCAATTATTCATAAAATTCCACTGTACTATGTAAACCATTTATTAACTTAAGTTTATTGCACAGTGAATCTCTTACAAATGTCCTTTCACTTTAATAAACGAAAATATAGTCAGACCTAACATTGGCAACATTAATAAATTTAAAGACTGAAAAAGGGTAAGCGGAAAGGCTGCTGCTTATTCACTGCTTTCATATTCTGTTTTTCAATGTGCTTAACTTGACATTGCTATTTCTCCCTCCTTGTCTGTATCCCGCCTGCATGACGTAGAATGTTCTAACTTCTCCCACAACTTCTACAAATCGTGACAGCTTCTGGCGTCTTTGAAGACATATCAAGGAACTGGAATTGTATTAATTCCGTAAATGTGCTTGATAGGTGCTTCCATTAATTTTGAGAAGCGATTTTTAAAAAAAAATGATAAATACCAGTGCACATAATGATTAAATTCAACGATTTTGACATTTCTCTACATAAAATGACACTTTCCCATGGAATATTATTGAACGATTCAGCGATGTTAGTCGCATGGATCGCTCAAAATTGCATTTTCGGCCTTCATTACTTCTGTTGCTTACTTGAAGAAATCTGCTGCGGAAATTCGCCATGTTCAGAAGATTATGGTAATGTTGCTCCATCATATCCCAACTGCCAATTTTGGTTTCAACGGTCTAAAATTGGCGACACGAAGTGACTGAAAATGCCATTTTTTGGCCACTTATTGCAACTATTATCCAAGACACACTGTTGCAGAGCAAATGAGAAGTTTTGCTACACCCAGCTTACATCACAGGTCATGGCGTCTTCTGCTTAACTACTTGTTGAGATCGATGCAGCATAGTTTGTGTAGCACGCGGTCCCGCAAAGTTGAAGGAGTTCGAAAATGGGTCGATGATTGGATTGCTGCCAGACTAATATAATTCTTCGAATGCGGTATCGCGACGTTTTCGAGAAAGACGGGAAAAAGTTATAGAACATGGTGGAAAATATTTGGATTAATGTGTATTATAACAATTTTTCTCAATGAATGTCTTTTTCAAGGGGAAAAATTCTCAAGACTTATGCAAGCACCTAATAAATTGCATTTTGTATATTGTACTTTTACCACGGGTTTATACTTAAACTTCAATGAAAAGATGAACAATAAATTTTTTTTATTTTGCAGTTTGCGCAACATATAGCATAATTTCTTCTTTTATTTATGTTTTTAATTTCTTTCTCTGTTCACTTTTTATGATCGTTTCTTAGTCTTTTAACACTGCTCAATTATTAACTATCTTAGCGAACTCAGCGTGAACGTATCCTGCCTACCTTCTATCAAAGACAAAAATGTGGACTCTGTGCGATGAGCTAAGTTCACAGTAGTCTCCTTCTGTTCTTCAGAGCACTAATACGTCGATGTGTCTTATTGAAGCTACCACTACCGCACAAATTGGGTCCCAAAGCTGCTTTTACATATATGCTTAACTGATAATCGTAGATCGCGCTCGGAAATTGTGCCTATATCATTTACAACAAAAACCAGTACCTCAGATAATAGGTCATGCTAAACATGTCTTAGTGCGTACAACTGCCATTAGCCACGTACAAGACTTCAGCAAAAAACATACTTTGCTTGAAGTTATGTCGTATGCTACCAGGCACTTGCGTGAAGATGAATATGTCGTTTAAACTACATCACCTACATATGCATCTCTGCAAAGCTAACGAACTCTAGTCAAACTTTTTTGGAATTTTGGCGAAAAGCGAAAAGAAATGACACTAGGTAAACAACAAGAACAAAAAATTTCCACTGATACTTTATGGTAGACTGATATACTGAATTTTCGTTGGCAGAGTATGGTCTTCGATCAGTGCTGGTTAAAGGGTGTGAATATAAATTCCAATTTAACTAGCAAACATACTTACCATGTCCCGTAACAGAACATTGTACACGCCCTAACAGAGCTCTGTTAAATATTTAATATTAAGGCATAGTTGGATTTCCAAGCCTATTCCGGCCATATTAAAAAGTGTAAAATATTTTTGGGAACACGTCATGAATCTATATGAAAATACCTTTCAAGCAAGCTAAACATATTCAAATTCTGTGCATACGAACTATTATTAATAATGTTTTGAAATTTTGTTTGTTATCGAAAAATGGGTATGGAAAAACACTCAAGGTTGAAAGCCCAGTGCGGCCAAACTAGAAAATGTCTTCTGTATTCACCTTTATCACGTGAGTCTATATAAAAATATCTGTCGAATGAAAACCAAGCGGGGATTTATTTGTTACGGATAGTTATTTCGGAGTGATTGGGTGAGGCCGCTAAGGAAAAAACTTAAAGAAAAAATTTCTTCCACATGATGAATATTATCACCAAAAGCAACAATTAAACCAAATAAAAACATTTATGAAAACTTTACAGCGGCTTTTCTCTTAATCTTTTATATTAAGCTGTGAATAAAATGACTCGTTTAAAAATGATAAAAAGATGGGCAAAAATATTCAATGTGCACTTTAAAAAACCTCTAAAGCGTGTTATGTATGTAAAAACCGGAACCATAAACTTATTAATTTACTTTTTGGTGCTAGTTATAAATATATATGAGCAAATGCAATCACACTACGGACGTTTCTCACCCATCAGTAGAAATTACAAGTTAGACGCGAATGATTTTATTTTTGCTACCCACCCACACTTTCTCTTCGTACACAGTTTGAAATTTGCGTAGGAACATTGTTCCTTTTGATTGTTGCTTATGTTACGATCATTAAACGCTCACTCAACACATATTTAGCCATTACTGTTTTCTTCTTAATTTGTGTTGTAAATATTTTGGTGAGTTTTACTTTGTATATTCAATTTTTAATTGTTATTTTCTTCATTTTAAAACGTACGCAAATCAGTATACGTACTTGTGTAAATAATTGTTTTAAACTTGAGAAAATTTTTCATATCCATATGCTCAATAATCATTTAATGATTCCTCGTGGGAGTGTTTGTTTAATAAACATCGTATTTGCTTTCAAGCACAGGAAAAGCGATGAAAAACCTTCTCTTTTGGTGGTGTTGTTGTAGAACAATCGGCTGCCCTTGATGTGGGTACGGAATATAGTACGCCAGCCAAAATTGCTGTATACAATACTATATGCAATATATGGTATACGGTATGAATGAATGGTTGGTATTATTCGCCACAAGCTGAATATGATTTTTTTACGCAATTTGATACGCCGGACGTTTTCTCTCGCAGGTATTCTGAAATTTTGAAACGGGCTAAGTGCTAGAAGTTGTTAGAACGATTCTAGGAGGAATTGTTATTAAACGGAAACTAACAGTAATGTATGAAGCTTAGACGTATAAGTATTGGATATAACGAAATATATATCCCTATGTTTGTTCGTCTTGTTTTCGCAACCTGAAGATTGGTATAAAATATATGCAATTCAAGATCCGTTTAATGCACCTTTCCCGTGAGAGAGAGCCAGGAGAATCGTAATATTCGAGCGAAAAAGAGAAGACGAAGCATTCTGACTATAAGTTCCTATAAATAATTTGTAAATATAATAGACCTCCTAAGAATTTCCTCTTGCAACCTTTCCTGATCACCGCCGTGCCCGCACGAATAGGGGACATTCGCCGAGTAATAGAAAAAGAAGAAAATTTGATATCTCTTTGATCGTTGATTGTTTCCCCTTGCTTCCTTAATTTTTGTTTTTAATTATGTAACTGTTTCGTGTCCGTTTTGTTTACTCGTTTCAGGCGATCGTGCCATGAGTCCAGCCCAATCGGAAGATTCTGGTTTAGCGCCAGAACGTGGCACCACTTACGCTACCATTACGTTGCCAAGAGATAATACCACTAATATAGGCATCACATTGGCAGGTAAGTAATTGTGACACTTATTCGCAAATATGATCAAAAAAGAAATATTTCATGCGAGAGTTGATTAAAAAAATTCGACAAATTGTCAAATTTCTGTGTAGATCTCAATTCCAAAATTTTTTTTTAATTTGTTGTTAAAAATCGCGCTGGTTATTTTTATGCGTATGAGTTGAGTTGTGAGTCCCACAATCGTCTCGATAAATGAACATTTAAACATTTCTGAAATCTCAAAATTCAAATGAAACGCTGAAATATGATGAATATATCTTTCGCTGAATGTGAAATGCTTCAAATAACTACAACAAAAAAGGTTAGAAAAAAGTAGGAAACTTGACCTCGCTTCATTAAATTTTGCTAACCAGCAAGTGCAGTTCCATATTACAATGACAATGTAACTTTTAACACTTCCTTTCTACATGTATTAGTTTCTCGAGAAAAGTGCATGAGATACCAGTTAATTTAAATTCACATCGAAGGATGCCGTTATGATATTAATTGAATTTGCAAAAGTTCGGATGATGCTTATATGCGATTTTTTGGTTTTGAATGCTGTAAGCACTCATGGCGTTTCTCTTTGTTAAGTGAGAGTTCTCAGCAGCATTTTTCATCAATTATACATATCATCTAATGCATAAAATGACATAAAATTTCCTCGCGAAACGTGGGACGGCGGGACAGTCATTCGGTCATAGGGTGCTTAGGGTAATTTTTTGAATTGGCAAAAGCGTTCTTAGAAAAGAAGAAACCGGTAAATTTCAACTAGCACTGCAGAGTTTATAACATCGTATATTATAACAGCTGTAATTAACAGACCGTATTATCGATTCGTAAAAAAGGCGAATGCGTCTGCTTATGTTTTGCTTCCGATGCGAAAACGAAATACGCTTGTAAATATTGAATAGATTTTCAAAAACACGTCTCAAGCAATATCTAATACTGAGCTAGTAAGCAACGTCATCACAACATCACACACAGTCTAATAGGGGCCAGACGCAATGATACATGACTTCCATATTTCGAGATGTGACTTCAACTTTGCCAACTTTTTGCGAAACTTTACGGGAATTGGCAAATCATATGGTATTGTCTGTATACAAACGACTACAACAAAGCAAAGAAACGTAGAACAAGCAAGAAAATTATGTTCGGTCGTACCGAATCATCAAAGAAAAGCTTCAATTGCATAGACTTGTAGGCGTCGTAGGTGTGTCTTTTAAAAAGTATAGGTCACTTCCACATTCGTTTGCAAATTTTTAGGAGATATCTTCATTTTCGCTAACGAGAGAATGTGTACCACAGAGGAATGGATGGACATGTTTAGGTGCATTTCAAATTCGAAACTGATTAAGAATTTATATACGTTATGGGGTCTTTGAAGCTTCTTTCTGCGCCTTATAAAGGTATTGAAAAAAATAAAATTTTTAATATCCTATAATATTGGATAGGAGTGGTCAATTTTTCCCATTTTTCTACAGATACTACAGCGTCTCCCATAGAATATGTGTTTAATTATTCGTATGTTTATCTGCTGTAGTTTATGAGTAATAATCAAAAACCAATTTTTCATTACTGTTGGTCCCAGTTCTCAGTGTGGTCATGTCCTTTGACCGATTTTACTTATTTTCAACACCAGCCTGCGCGCAAGAACTTTCAATGGTTCTGCCAAATTTGAAGTTAGTAGCTTCGTTAATGCGGCCAGGAGTGTGTGTATAACACAACTTACACAGACGGACAGGCATGCGGACGAACAGATGAACATGCCTAAATCAATTTAAGGTTTGGTGCTGGTCGAGAATAAATATATTTCGTGGGGTCTACGGCGCTTTCTTCCGAATATACCCATTACCTTTCGATGATATATATAAAAAAAACCAGTTTATTTTTAACTTGGAAGCTTTTTGTTTAATTTATATTTACTTTGTGCTAATGTTTTTTGTATGTTGTTTGAATTTTGTCTATTATTAGTTTTTTAAGGTATGAAAAACAGGTAACGAATGCAATTTATTTTCAGTTTATCGTATGGATTTTAAATCAGAATATTGGTTTTATATCACTGAGTTAGTGAAATACATCTTTATGCTCATTCATTCTTTACTTCAATAATTATTAAAAAATGTAATTTATTTTTACATTAATTTGTTGTTGAATCGTTATTTTTCGTGTATTTGTTGTGCACATTCATGTTGATTTCTTTACTTTGTATATGTTTTTCCTATAATATCCTATTAATTCTGTACCGCGGTTTCCTGTAGCGCTTACCACTTGTTGGTTTTTGATCTGAAAATAGGTGTAACGCATCATTATGTTGTATCTTGAGATGTTGATTTATATTATTAAAGAAAAATTTAAGCATTTCTAGTAGTTCTTATTGTTATCAATAAAAAAATTAATTTTAAACTAAAAACTGTAGTTGTTATAGCCTTTGGTGCAATGAACTTAAGAATGATATGGTTAAACTCTCTCGAAACTGTCCATCGTTGAAAGCGCATTCATTAATGTTCGTGCCTGTTCACAATAGTTCTATCAATAAAAAATTATTTAAATAAAAATATTAAAGAAACAAATTGCTCTTATCTAAATCCACTTCTCCTAGTTGTTCTTGGCTGCGGTTAGTGAATTAAGCTACGTTATTGATAAATAACAAATCTCGCTAAAACCGTTTTTCGTTTAAATTGTTTTATACGAAATTATTTCGACTGGTAAATCTGGTAAAGCCACGTCGTAAACCATTTTTTTACTTTCACTCTCATTTGCTTATATAAATGTGTTTTATTGTTGGATGAGTTCTTCTAAATTCATTTTATTTCGTTACTTCCTCCTAATTAAATTAGCTCTTTATATTATTAAATTAGCTCTATGTATATATTAGATACATAGCCTCTTTTTTATTTTTCTTTAATCCAAATATTTTTTTTTATGCCCTACACCACTTGTGGTATAGGGTATATTAAAACCCATTATACTGATCGATTCAGAATTATAATCTACATTGACCTAAGCCTATCTGCCTGTCTGTCCAGCTGATAACTGCCCATGCGGATTTGTGTTCAAGCTACAAGTCAAAATTTTTGAGATATTTTCATGAAATTTGGTAAAGTGACGTGTTTTGACTCAAGGATAAACGGTGATGTAACGCCCTATTCTGAAAAATCGTTATATGGAAAAAAATTTTGATTTCGGAAATTTCTCGTTAAAAGTGGCTAAGTAGTGGTATTGTGGCGTTCTAAATTGGCGAGAAAACTTTGGACTAACTGAGGCAATTTTTGAACACCCTCTCATATGATGCAAACTGAAGTTTTTAATGATTCATGTTGAAAATTATATCATAATAGTATTTTAACATAAAAAAATCAACTGTATTAAATTTAGACCATTAGGGCTTATTTTTTGAATCCCACCTTAATAAAAATTTTTACGAAAATTGATTCTTTGTAGAGCAGAAAAGTCTAAGTTTTAATACGTGGACTATCTAAGCTTATTTTTCAATTTTGTCCCATGTAAAGATTAAACTGTAATTGCTGCTGTCGAAGATTTACCTGCTTTCGGGGATGTGTCGTGTCGAGGCTGCAAATGCTGCTGATGAATTATCTACTGTGGGTGATGTGAAGTTTTCGGGCTGCACATGCTGCTGATGATTTCCGTTGCTGAGGGAGTTATGAAGTTCCGCACTGTACATGCTGCTGATGGGTTATTTGCTGTGAGTGATGTGTTGAGGTTGCACATGCTGCTGATGATTCCCGTTGACCTATTTCCTGTTTCCACCATGCATCCCACGGGATTACCTCACTTTTTTTTCCCCTTTTCTTTCTTTGCAATGTTCTTCTTTTATTTTCTTTTTGGTATTCCCTTTGATTATTCTTAGTGTTTTTTTTTTTTTGATGTTCGTGTATTCTCGTTGATTTTCTTGTTGTTTTTTTTTGGGGGGTTTTCTTTTTTTTTTGTATTACTTTTTGATTTCCTTAGTGTTTTTTTTTCAATGTTCTTGTATTCTCGTTGATTTTCTTAGTGTTTTTTTTTTTTTTTTGCAATGTTCTTTTCCTTTTGTATTTTTTTTTTTACTTAGTGTTTTTTTTTCCAATGTTCTTGTGGTCTTGTTGGTTTTCTTAGTGTTTTTTTTTCAATGTTCTTGTATTCTCGTTAGTTTTCTTAGTTTTTTTTTTTTTTTGATATACTTAGTGTTTTTTTTTTTTTTTTTAATGTCCTTG